AGAACTCTAGCTAAACCTTTAGTGCAATTATTGGACTTTAAGGGTATATAAATGTTGTTTCTAATGTAATTAAGAGGCTACACCAGGAATACTAGATATCATAATTGTCAATTAACATGAGTTTATTACTCACAATCTCTGTTTACATAAATCGTACCCTGGAGGCTTGGCTTTTCCATGAATTGCTGAAGCAATTCTCTTTTTAGAGATTTCTGATTTCCTGGGTTTAAATTTGTAGTAATCTGTTGTGCTAAAATAACTATATAAAGAAAATATTCTGAGGAAATAATTGTCACCAGACAAGTAAGACGAAGTTTGAAGTCTTGCCATTTCACACCCCGGTAAAGGAATCTGTGAAGGAAATGCTGTCAATCAAACCCTAGTCCTCACCACCAAACCACATGAGCCGTGTTGTGAGTCATAATCCTTCTGTTTCTTCTGGCAGGTTTGCTCCTATCTCTTTTAGAAGCTGAAAACTCAGGAAAGCCAAAAATCCCCCTCTCCGTCCTGAAACAGAGAAAGGAAAGAGCGCCTGGAATTTGTCAAGTAGGTCCCGAAATGAGTATTATTATACTTCTTGTTTTCAAGCGATTTAAACCTAATTTCTAGTTTCCGTCCTAAATCAAACTGTGCCTTTGGCAAACGGAAAGCCCTTTGTTATTATCATTAGTGAAAATAACAATAATAGTAATAAATTATCTCAAGTGAGAAATGTCCTTCTTTTTTCTAACACTCTAAATCAGGTCTTTGTTCTTGGGATTTCTTATTATGTATGCAATTGCAAAACGTAAAGGTCCATATTCTTCAAAGTCGATGTGAAGAGATCAATTTACAGCATAGGATATTGAAGACAGTAGATTGACTCAGGCTCACTCTCTCCGGAAGGCAGAATGTCTTTATGCATTTGCTAGGTCTTCACTCTCTACTTGAAGCCACCCTCTCTTCATTCTGCTATTTCCCACTCTGCTAATTATGACTGACTTTTACAATGTTTCTTTCCTCAATATTCTAAAATGTAAAATAATGTTTTTCTACTTTTGTCCAACACTGACATGCTATTTATATGAATTGTCTGCTGAGCTTTCTTCCACCATCCCTGCATTCCTGGCATCTTCATTGAGTAACTGATAGAAAAAAAGAAATATGTTGTTAGAATACTCCTATCTTTACTCTCATAGGATGAGCCATTCACAAAGAGGGACCTGCTTGTTTAGACTGCATTCCTATCCGTCCTGTGGGACCAGCTTTTCATGGAGGCTCAGATTGCATTGAAGGCCCTAAAGTACTTGAACTTGTAGGAGAGATCTGGAAATTTTGCAACAACTGTCTTTCCTTTCAAATTCTCGGTGCTTCCTGTTTTCTATCAACTTTCAAGCATGAATCCCTTAAGTGAGGAATATAAATTGTGTTTGTTTAGGAAATGTTCTCCCTGTCCAACTTTCCTCAAACAGAGTAAGAGAAACCTTGACCTGTTTACTCCATAGGGAACTTAAAAGTTCCTGCTTACTGGCCAGATGATATTTTATATGATAACATAATAATTCTTTCTTACTTTCTCTCCCTCTCTTCCTTTCTCTAAAAAATGCAATCCTTTCAACTGTTAAATTAATTAAACAAGGAAGCCATTGGGCTGAGGTGGATCTGATACCATGGGAGCCTACACAAGTGAACCAAGATCTAAGCCCGTAAATACCTCAAGATTATAAAATCAAAACCTAAGGACAACCAATCAAAAGCAGCCAACTAAGCTTTAAACTGTAGCCAATCAACAATTTCCTTTGCTTCTGCCTTTTTTTCTATAAAAGTCTTTCCCCAGCTCCTGTAAATGAAGTGCTCCTCCCCTCTTTCAGTGTGGTGCTACCCCATTCTAATACATTTCTGTTCGAATAAACTCTTCAAAATGTTAATATGCCTCAGTTTATCTTTTATCACAACCTATATTCTCTAAATCCCCTGATCACAGCAAGCTTTGAATAACTTGAAATGTCCTCTCACCTCATTATATCTCTTTGATCCTATCCACTTTCTTAGGGAAACAAGACTAATTCCTCTTTAGATAGATGCAGAGTTTCAAAGACATGAGTCTTCGGTAAATCTCCATCTTGAATCATACACATGAAGCATGAAATATTATTTCTGTAGGTGAAGTTATTTGTCTACCGTTGTTATGATAAGAATATTTGTGCTAACTAGAGGTTTCTTGGTAATGAAATATAAAATTCATTCTTAACTATAGTATATATTTCTTAGACATTTTCCCACCGAAAAAGGAAGCTAGGACTGCATAACATTGGGTTGAACAAATCCAGTTCTTTTCCCATTCTTCTACTTTTATTTCTCTGTGTTCTTTTCCTTGGCACTGTGATTTTCTTCCACCATTCCCTTGGTCTCCTGCCCCCTCCTTTTCTTTTGTAATGTGCTCATTGAATACAAATTTATCAAGAATTTTTTGTTTATTTGTGGTTTTTTTTCCTAATTCCTTCCACAAATAATAATCGACATTTCACATGGGGCAAACATTGTGATAGGCTTAGTGTACCATGATAGACAAAATAGATATAGACCCTGTCAGCAGCGAACTTGCACTCTCATGGTAGAGACAGATATTAAAGAGACAAATAGATAAAACCATATGTAATTACATGTAGGATAAGTGCTATGAGATCAAAAGGATCACTATGAGATGAACAAATACAGATTGTCCAATGGTAGACTGTTTGATCAGGGAAGATCTCTATGAGAACACAAAATTTAAATTGAGTCCTGAAGGATGAGAAGGGGTCAGCTGAGTAAATTCAAGGAGATAAAGCTATCTCCGGTCACTAAGATCTTTCACCAAGCACAGGAACTATTAAAATGAAAAAGATATTCTTCTGACTTAAAGATAGGCAAAGCTCTCTCATACCTATGCAAAGCACTCAGAGATCCGTATTTTCAAACTTGACTTTCCCCTTGAGTTGTTATACACCAAGAAACTCTAATTGGAAGGTTTCAAAGTCTATTGAGTTAAATCCATCATCTACTCCCCAAAGCTTTTCCCTCAGAACTTGCAGGTGAACAAGTCTTGTGTGTCTCCTTGAAACCCTCCATTATTATAAAATTACATCATGAAATAATATTGTATATTATATAATTATAAAATATTAAAATATTTTCTAAGATATATAAAAAAGCAAAATTTGACAACAGATATATGTATTAAAAACTAGTGAAGAGCATATGTTCAGTATGGACAAACCTTCTATCAGTTCTGTGAGTGTTAATAGTCTGAGAAACACGTAATTCTACAAATGCCATATGTTCCAATCTAACACAGAACAGGATGTACTCGCAAAGAAATTGGAAAAATGCTTTGCCTCTTTTCTCTCCATTGTGTCTAATTGTGGAATATAGAGAACACACTTGCCCAGAAAGTCAGACACCATCGGAAGGTGGAAGGAGTTCTACATACCTTAGTCCAGACAAACTGCATTTGACTCTAGTTCAATCAGAGAATCTTACAGCAGGGAGAAACACAATATTCTCTCAAACACAAACAGCTCAGGACAATCGAGGATTTGTTTAAGATCAATACTTTAACTAAAGCCTGTGCACATGAGTTTTGGGTTTGCATTTCTGTTCTAGCTACACTGGCCTTCTGCTGTTCCTCAACCAGGCCAACCTTAGCGTCTTTGCACTGGCCATGCACATATGCCTGTCATGCTGTATGCCCACTTGTTTGCAGTTCTGTTTCCCTTTCTTTATTCAGGTCTCTGCCCAAGCACATTCCCCCTCTACTCTATTCCCTATAACTCTCCAGCCCCTTACCCTGTTTTAGTACTAACATTATTTTATATATTCAGATATTGTTTGTCTACTGTCTACCATAGAAGCAGTAACCATTTTTGGCCTTTATGTGTTCTCATTATCTAGAGCAGCATCTACAAATTAGTAAGTGTTCAACATATTTTTTTCTTGATAATTGAATAGATATTCAATGGGGTGGTGGCAGGGAGTCTGGTCATTGACTGAACGTTGAAGAATAATAGAGAATTAGTAGAGCTATTCTCTCTGTGAATAGGTGAAGACTGTAAACATGTATCACAGGTGAACACAGCTATGCTATTTATTTCTAAGAAAATCTATGAAAAGGTTGCATTGTCCTAAAATGGAAAAAAATAAGACACTCTGGAAATAATCATTTTCTTTTTAAAAATTTAAACTTTTAGAAAGCATTGCTTTGGTATCTTAAAATATTTGCAAGATGATGTGTTTTTAATAAATTGGGAGTAAGATATCATGTGGAGATATGATAAAATTATTAGAGATGGAAAAGAATCAGATTAATATGTAAAAATAATATAAGGATAAATAAAATGCAATAGCAAAATTGAAATATATTTGCACTGAAGCAGAGCTGTAAAGACCCTCCAGAATGCAGACCACCCCCCCACACACACACACAAAAAGGAAAATGATTGCAAAAAAGATTTATGTAGAACACAGAAATAATTATTTGAGACAAAGAATACTGGAAATAATAAAAGTTTGCAGTCGTATAGTGTCAAACAATGTTCTAGGTGCTTTACTTATTATTAACCTTTAACACATACAATAACCCTATAAGGCAGGCAGCAGTATAATTTCCATTTTACAGTGAGAATGCTGAGGCACTGAGAGATTATGAGACTCATTCAGGTGGCAGAGCTGAAGTGGGAAATCAGGCCATCTGGTCGAAGTAGCCCAAACGTACTAATTCCACTAGTTAGAATTTTAATAAATATAGTTTACTTTTTATCTGTTATATGATTCTTTTTATGACCAGTTAAAAATATATTCTCTATATTATTATTCTTTGTCTATTTCAACTGGCAAGTGAATGTAAAAAACATTTATATCTCATAATACTGTTTCTACCTAAGTCTCCTCATAGTTTTTATATTATTTTCTATGTCTTTGCCCATCCTTTAATTTAGAACTTTTCTGAATCATATCGTTTCCAGGGTTTTTTTTTGTTTTTGTTTTTTGCTTTTACATAGTATATACTATTGGATTTTTGATTCAATATTTGCTATAAAGATATGTTTGATCCTGCCCTACCATCTTGTTTAAGACACATTTTCTTCATTTCTTTTGGGGCTTTCTGGCAGGAGAATTGAACAAATACATCTTCAGTTACTTTATAAAAATCACTCAGCTATTTTCTTGGCAGAGATTTTATTTCCATTTTTCTTTTGATCTAAATTATTTAAAAGCAAAGAAATACTAATAAGATGACCAGTAAATGAAGATGACATTACTTAACAAGGAAGTGAATGGGCATATTATTTGGTTGGTTGATTATATCAGAGAGAAATCCAGAATAATTAAGAAATTACCTATACTGTAATAGAAATAAAAGTCACTCTCCTTGAAGCACTGGGCATGGCATCCTTTTCCTTGATGTTCCTTTTAGTCTCAAGATAAACGTGTCTCTCCAGAGGTGATCTTTTTGTCTTCTCATTCTAGAAAGTCTGCTACCAGAATGACATCTAGGTAATGATTCAATGTTAAACAGTATTTTTGTATACGTGCAGGTAGCTCTCCCAGATTAATCTCTTCTTTTAGACACTCATCTGCTCACGGAAATGCTACTGAGATCCAGAGAGTTTTATTATTAAGTCTGAAAGAAAATTTCACTATGGTTACTCAATAATTATCATGGAAATAAACAGACAGTGTTAGATGGTTTATTTCTCTATTGTTTTATGTAAAATTCCTATGAAATTGTGACATTAGAAATGTCTTAGAAAAAAAATTAGTTCATCTATTTATACCAGTTTTTGAAATTAAAAATCATTATAAAGATCAGTGAATTTAAGTAGTTATTCTGTCTTTGCATAAATTTTACAATATCAATGGTCAGAAAACAAAATAGGTCTTGAGTTTTGAAATGTGGTTTCTCGTATTCCTATGACAGTTGGTGCTTACTTAAAAATTGTAAAAAGCCGCCTGAATCATCAGAGTGATTCACTTACTTACAAAATAACTTTTTCAAAGAAAATGTGATTAAAAAAAAAGAGTTTGCTTTTACTTCAAATTCTACACGATTATAAGACACTGCGGGCAGGGGTTGTGTCTATCGTATTCACTACTATATCACCACCTTCTAGTATAATGTGAGCACATAATGCAAACTAAATAAGTATTGAGGGAATAAAAGAATAAGATTTAGATGGTTCTTCAATGTCCAGAAGTTGAATGAACAACAACGTGTATGTGGGTGTGTGGGGGCAGGGGTGAGTCTCTTGTTATGTTTTTTATGCTTTATTGAAGGATTTTTATCATAATAACTATTAAATGATATATTAATTCAACTGATCAATATTATTTGAAGAAATAAAGGTACCGAAAATAAATTTATGTTTCTAATGACCTTAAAAACAATTTATAAAAATGTAAAACAAATGTAATATGAAATATTCAAGATGTCAGAGGAGTTTCTCTTTATTAAATCTGAACCAATCCTACGAGTTGGACAGGAAATTTATCATGATTTCATAGCAGAGGGAAACTAATGCTGAAATGGTTCAATATTTGACTTTAGTCATATCGCTGGTGAGTGGAAAGAAAGGATTTGAAGCAAGGTCTCCTGATTCCAAACCCAGTAGAATTTGCCACAGACAGAAATGCAGTTCTGCTTCTTTAATTAATTCAAATCAGGACTGTTTTTGATTATTGAAAGTAAATTGACAGAGATATCTTCCTGGAGATGCATGTGATAAACATTCCAGTTTTCCTAATTCTAAAAAACATTAATTATTTAAACAACAATAAAACAAAATAAAATTATTGTTTTGATCATAGCTTTTTAGAGGAAACAAACGAACAAAAAATAACATGGCCTAAAATGCATTCATTAATTTTAAGATACACTTTCTTTTCAGAAATGTTAAAGTATGGAAAAAATGTATGGGGTATAGTTTTTGAAATTAAAAACTACACCTTCTGCTAGCACCTTCTGCTACATTGACTGATCAAAGTCTTCTGGGTCTTTTAAGTCCTAATTTAAATTTAAAGTAAATGCCTTTTGGAAATTGTACATGACCATAGCACTCACACAGTTCTTCTATAGAAAATTGTATCATGGTTTCTTTGTTACATCACTCCTATTATTTAAGTGTGCATTACATTTTTATATTTCATGTCATATTATGTTCAATTACCAAGCCTCAGCTTCCTCATTGGTAAAACAGATTAAGAAAAATAATACTCACTGCATAGTGTTGTTGTGAAGAAAAAATAGATATTCTTGTAAACTTGTTTGCCCTCTGCTTGATAGGAATACATTATCAATAAGTATACGATATCGTTAACAGTTATTGATCTCCAGAAGAATACCATGATGAAATTACTATCCTGATTTTGAAAAACAAGGAAACTTAGGCCCCAATAGTTAGGAAACTTGCTGAAGGCCACACAAGCACCGAAAAGCAAAGCCAGAGCTCAAAAGCATGGAAATTCATGTCGACAAGCGAATGTTCTTCCAGAGTGAGGAGGCATGACTAAGCTGTGTGGGTCGTGAGACACGAGCATGTAAGTGAGAGAGGTCATCACAGGACAAACTGAGAGGGAGTTGAGGAAAGAACAAAGCCTCAGACCTTTATTACCAAGGACCTTGCCCAATCCCCAACCCGTTTCCTTCACCATAAAGTATCTCGAAGGAATAATAATGATTAGTACTAATAGCTAACATTTATTGAGCATTTATGATGCTCAGGCTCTGTCCTAAGCATGTTCTCTGAGCTCACCCATTGACCCTTCAGTCCACTATGGACAAGGAAACCAAGATTCGACTCTGGTAAAAGGGCCAGCTTTCACCCTCAGGTTGTTTTACCACAGAAGCCCACACTCAAGCATTTGCTCCTGTTTGCCCCAGAGCATCACTAATTAGCAAATAAATGAGGATGATAAATAGATTACATAGAGTGATTTGAGAAGTTCAACAACAGAGGATTATTAAAACCCAATTTAAAAAACTCACCTTTGTATCTTCTTGGATGGAAACAAGCCACAGTTCACATTGCCCTTGTCTGCCTGTAGGATGTCTTCCTGGAATCTTACTCCTCAAGGTTCGGGTTCGATTCCATGACTCTGTGTGGTCCCTGATAAAGACAACAACCTCTTGAGAAAAGAGAGGAAAGAATGGAGGAAACAATTGTCCCAGTGTGTTCTGGGACATTTCATTTCTTCTATACCTTAATATATCAGTAATTTCCTTTTGTATTAATTCACTGATTCCTTCTGTTGGATGTCAGCTTCCTGACAACAGGATCTGTTCTATTCCACTTTTTCCCAGGTTCCTAGAACAGAGAGTGGTTCACAATAAGTATTTACAGCAGTTCCCCTTCTGTGCATATTTGCTTTCCATGGTTTCAGTTACCCGTGGTCAGCTGCATTCTGAAAATAAGAAATTCCAGAAATAAATAATTCATAAGTTTTAAATGTTGCATCATTCTGAGTAGTATGATGAAATCTTGCACTGTCCTGCCTGGGATGTGAATCACTCTTTTCTCCAGATGACTATGACTGTAAGCTCTCTCTCTGTTAGTCACTTAGCTGTCTCAGTTATCAGACTGACTGTTGTGGTATCACAGTCCTTGTGTTCAAGTAACCCTTATTTTACTAAATAATGCAATAGTCACATACTTTTATTACATTATATTTGTATACTATGTATAATTTTATTATTAGTTATTATTAATCTCTTACTGTGCCTAATTTATACACTAAATTTTATCATAGGTATGTATGCACAGGAAAAAGCATAGCATATATAGGGTTCGATACGGTTTGAGGTTTCAGGTATCCACTGGGGGGGCTTGGAACATATCCAATAAGGGGGGACCACCATATTACATAGTAGTTGCTGAATGACCGAGGTAGCATTAGACTTAGGTACTAATCAGGACTCACTTGTCGTGTGGTCTCAGATGATTTATTTGATATCTCAGAGCCTTGTTAAATGAGAATGATGAAGCTTCTGCTCAGAGCAGCGTAGTAATGAAAGGAATGGAGTGCCAAGTGCCTAACTGTATCCTTGGCAGGGCTCTGGACATCTAAGTTGCTGCTCTCCCTGCAAACACCTGCCCCTGACCCTTAGGATACATTACAGAAGCACAGAATTAGCATGAAATTCACAGCCGACTCCATGGAAACGGATCATCTTGTCACTTAGAGTGTGTCTCCTCTAGAGAGTTTATGGTCCTAATAGTGTGGCTAAATTCTTGGCTCACCTGAGTCAAGCATTATCTCCATTGCTCATTTTCATGCCTAATATATATTTTTTTCAGATTATCCGAGGAACTAAACCCTTGCCGGAAAAAGCTTTCTGCTCTCATCCAAAAAGAATTAAGCCAGTCTCAATCAAATCTTTTCCCATCAATAATCAATTTAAAACATGATCCCAATTAAATATCATTCTGAAAGCCATCTTAATCAATCTCGACTTGATAGGCTTTCCGAAAGAATTGCCTAATTAAACTCTCTATAGAATAAAATGATCGTGCCTCGTCAACCTAATGATGACAGAAAACCAAGAAACAAAGGAGAATATTTGGAAGTTAATCTGCTGAGAGCATCCAACAGAATTCAGAGGCGATGGGGCTAATGTCCCTCTCACAGGGCTATTGTGAGGGCACAGAGATAATTTATATGAAGCATTTTTGAGAAGTGCTCTGAAGTGACAGTTACAATCATTATTTTTGGAGTGTGCTGTCCATGCCACCTGACTCTTATTCTGCACTCTTTCTCTTTCTCAAGATCTGACTTTCTATAAATCTAGAATATGTTTCAGGACTGTCACATAACGTGGTGCCCGTTGTTCATGCCACAAAGGTATCTTTTGAAGAGATAAGTAGAGGCTAAAAGCCAGCACAGGTACTTCCTCTTTAGGCAGGTTGTGTGTGAAATATTGTCCATTCGGAGAGAGAAGTCCTTTCTTAATTTACACAAAATGTATCCTAACCTTACCTTGTCCCTCTTGTGTCACTTTTCCAAGGCTTCCATAACAAATTACCACAAACTGAGTGGCTTAACATAATTGTGTTATGTTGTGTGAACACACAACATACTTGTGTTCTCTCACAGTTCTAGAGGCTAGAAGTCTGCAATTAAGGCGTCAGCAGAGCCACACAGCCAGTGTGGAATCTAGGGCAGAATCCATCCCTTGCCTCTTCCAGCTTCTGGTGGCTGCGGCCATTCCTCGGCTCTTGGCTGCATCTCTCTCTGCTCCATCCTCTCATCACTTTCTCTTCTGTGTGTCTGTGTTGCCGCCTTTTGTCTCGTCATATAAGAACACTTGTGATGCCATTCAGGGCCCATCTGCATAACTGAGAGTAATCTCCTCATCTTAAAATCCTTAATTATATCTACAAAAGCCCTTTTCCCAAATAAGTTAAGAACCACGAATTCCAAGGATTAAGAATTGATATTTTTAGATACTCATCATTCAGCCTACTATCTCTCTCGAATGCCTCCAGATGATAGCCTGGTGGAGCACAGTGTTTTAAGACTGATGAGGGTTCAAGCACACCCAGGTCTCAGTGCCATTTGGAACGAGGAACTAAACTCTAGCCATGCCGTTGTAAAACCTGGAGAAAAGGCATTTACTGAGGCAATCCTACAGAACTTTCTGAGATGATGAAAATGAGGCAGATACCCCCAAATTCAGGACTTCAGAGTCTCTGTGGCAATCTTTTTTATGCCACACTTCTTTGACCTGCCGGGTAGGAAATAATCCTGAGAATCACATTCAGTGGCTCACTCTGTCCTTTTATGTGGCCCAGCCGTACTATTTGCTGACTTATAAATTGTTTAGCCCGTTTCTGGGAATACTCTGGCATTCACACCTGGTGGCCCTGAGAAACAGGTTCTTGGGGCTCTTGATCTCCTCCTGATAAGCATGGGAAATTAATTCTGGATTGATTCACGTGACAGGGAGGCCATTAGCACTAATGAAGCAGCTTTTCACTATGAAACCCTAATCTCTTTAAGAAAGATGGTAGAAAAGGATGCAGAAGTTTCTCAGCTGGTAAAAATTATTCCTCTGAGTAAATGAGAAAACCTTTAATAGGCAAATTAGTAGAGCACTGTGTTTGAGGAGAATCTCCGCTTTATTGCCTCCTTATTTAAAGCACATTTTTCTGAAATTAAAAGCGAGGTATGCTTCTTAACTATAATTTGAGAAATATACAAAAAAAAACTGTAAAGGAGACAAATGGCATAAAGATATTCTTTATCTTTTTTTCTTCAACCCAAATCTCACTAACCCAGCCCAAATCATTATTCTCTGTTACTTAGATCATTATAACCACATTCTAGCTGGGACCCCAGCTTCCAGTTGTCCTCCTATCTGCAGCTAGTTAAGTGTTTACATAATTGAGAAAATGCTTTTGCTTCAATGATTTCCCACTGTCTAATATAAAGCCAAGTCTCTTCACAAGCCGCTCACTCCCTAACCCGGGAGTTTTATATCTCCCAGTTACACCATTTCCATAAGGTACGATCTTTGGCTGAAGCTCTGGAAATGCTTCTCATTTCTGGCCAGAGTGGGTCCCTCACCATGGGACCTCTGAACTTTGTTCCTTCCATCTCTTGAGGCACGTCACCTACCTGCTACCTTTACTCATTTCCCTGTCCCTCTTACTTCCCACCCATCCTTCTAGTCACAGCTTGCAAGTTACTTTTTCCCGGAACTCCCCCTTCACTCTACAATTCCAGGTTAATTGCCCCTTCTCTGGGCTTCTACAACACCCTACACTTCTTTAAGTATCATCTTTGTACCCTATTATGTTTGCTGCCCTCCTGGGTGTATGATATCCCCACTATACAATATACCCTCCGAGGTCAAGGACTGATGTTTGTCATAGTGCCTAACACATTGGAGGCACTCAAGATATATGAAATGTATATTCAATGTTAGAATAAGTAAGATTAAGAGCAAGGACCCTGGATTCATATTGTCTGAGTTCAAATTCCAACTTTTAAAGTCACTAACTATTAACATAAGTAAGCTACTCAATCTCTCTGAATCTTCATTTTCTCATATTTAAAATGATAATAAAAATATTGTATGGCTGATGCAAAGTAGACTGACCTCCCATGAGTCATATCCTTGTATAATTCCCTCCTGTTGAGTGCTTACTTCTAATCAATCGAATATGGCAAAATGATGGGATGTTACTGATTAGGCTACATTATATGGCAAAGGAGATGGAACGTCATTCCCACGACCACACTATAGTAGGTAAGACTCTGTCCTAGCAGACCGCAGAAAGAGAAATCCCCTGCGGACCTTGAGGACACAAGCAGCAACTTTGTGAATGGCCTGTGCAGAAGGCCAAATGCCAGGGAACTGCAGGTGGCTTCTAAGACCTGAGGATAGCGGCCCTGTGACAGTCAGAGGCTGGACCTTCAATCATAAAGCCACGGGAAATGAGTTCTGCCCACATCTGAATCTTGGATGCTTAGTTGAGCTTCCTTTGTTGAGCAACCAGATGGGAACACAGTCCTGTCAAAGTGCAACCACAGCTCAAAGGGACACTGAGTGGAGGACCCAACTACTCTGTGCCTAGACTCCTGACCAATAGAGACTGTGCCATAATAAATGGATTTTCTCTTAAACCGCTTAGCTCATGGTGACTCTTTTAAACACAGTAATAAACAACTAATGCATGTTCCTTCTCCCATATGCTTATTTGAAGGATTCAATAAATTAACAACATGCTAAGAAACATGGCTGCCAACTAGTATGTATTATATCAGTATTTGTTAAATAAAAGGAAAATTAAACATTCCTATCACTCGAATGCAACTAATGTTAACATTTTACGTTTCATTTTTCTTTTTTCACTATTATCACTATATTTTATAGGTAGACTTGCACTATTTGTCCAATATGTATTATAACAAGAGTATCTTGTACTGATAACATCCTAATGTTGAAATTTATAGTCATGTCAAAATTTGAGAAACTTTACCCATTTGTGGATATTTATGATCCTTCTAATTTTCCATGATGATAAACAGTGTTGACATAATAAATGAAATCAGAGTATCAATTATTTTATAAATTATGTGTTAGACATATCATTTTTAAAATTTTATTTTCATTCTTTCTTTGTTTTCTCCCATGCAGCTACATAGCACGGAAGAAGAATCTCTTATTTATACAGTTAATGAAGTTATGGAATTATTGCTTTAAGTTCTTCTATAATTAAATCCTTACAGTGTATTCCAACTTACAAAACATGCACCTCACCTATTTTATCTCATTTTACACTAAGAATAAAATTCCAGGTTG